GACTATTCTCAACCTCCACTATTCCCACTTTTTCCTGCCCCTTACTGCAGGCAGCAGACCAACTTGTCTTCTTCGCAGAGAAGACAGAAGCCATCTGATGGGAACTCCTTCAACCTCCTGCCACCTCACCTACACATTTACCCACATTAGCACTATCCTTTTTGCCCTCCCTCCCTCCCTCTAAGAGTAATCACTCCAACTGAGCTCTGGATCCCATCCCTTCCCACTTCCTCAGAGAACTTACAGCCCCAATTATCCTTTCTCTTTGATCTCTCCCGTCATAAAATAAAAAACAAATGTCTTGACTGTGTGTCCTCTCTTAACTGTCACCCTCTCTGTCCCTCATTTTTGCCTCCCCTTCCTGTTGAACTTCTTAAAAGAGTTGCCTAGATTTGGCCTGTTTTCACCTTCCACTCACTCACTCACTCATCCACCCACAGAAGTCTGACTTTGCCTCTACCGCACCACTAAGATGGCTGCTCTTGAGACAAGGTCACCAACAATCTCCTTGATAAAATCCCTTACCTCACTTAATTGCTTGGCTACACCAGATACTGCTGTTTGCAGCCTCCTGATCAAAATGTCCTTTTCTCTTGGTTTGCCTGATACCATACTCCTGGTTTTCAGGCTTTCTCTCTGGTGACTTTCTGCCAGTTGCTTTCCTGGGCTCCTCCTCTTCTGCTTGTCTCTTACATGTTAGTGTTCCTCAGGGATCCGATCCTTCCTTGGTCCAATTGTCTTCTCATTCCATGGGCTCTCTCCCTAGACAATTCCATCCATGCACACCTTTGATTTAATGAACATCTCTGGGCTGGTGAGTCCTAAATCTAATTCTGGCTCAGCTCACTCTCCTGAGCTATAGACCAATAGTCACCCACCTATTGGACATTTCCTTGAACCTGCTCCTCTTTCCGTACTCTATCTAATAGTACCACCAGTCCCTCAGCTACTACATAAGAAACTGCATGTCCTCCCTGAGTTCTCCAAGTTTGACCAGTTATCAAGTCCGGTATATGATATTTCTTGAGCAACTCTCAAATCAAATCCTGTGTCCACATGGTTAATTCAAGTTGTAATTATCTCTCACCTGGATTTCCACAAGAGCTTCCTAAAGGGCTGGATCTTACCGCCACTCATTTGCCACCATTCCCGCCAACTAAATTTTCTGAAGTGAAACCAGATTTTGTCATTCCTCTACTTCAAAACCCTTTAAGTGTTCCCCACTGTTCTCGGGCTGAAGCTCAGATTCCTTAGAAAAACCCATGAGGTCCAATCCTCTGTCTCATCCCTTGCCCTTACACTTTATGAACCTGCCATAACAAAGCACCTGCAGCCCACAAAAGCATGATGCCCTTTCTCACCCTTGGGCCTTTGCCTATTTTATTTCTTCCAGGTCTCAGCCTCAACATCATCCTTCCAGGATGGCTTTTCTGGTTGAGTTCTATCAGCCGTCTGATTTTATACTATCTCATGCTTTCACCTATTAGACAGTTTTCACACTTAAAATTACCCTTTTCTCTCTCTTAACATATTTATAAATTCGAGGTTAGTGACTGTGTCTTGTTTGATAGCACAGCCTCTGCATTTAGCAGGTGCTAGATACATAGTAAGTGCTCAGTAATTGTCTGTTGAATGAATAAAAGACATTTGGAAAGGAACATCCCCTGTATTGTTGCTGGTAATAAACCACATGCTGTTTCATTACCTGCCCTAAAGCGCTTATATTATAAAAATGAAATAAATCAATTCTGGAAAATGGCTCCTCTAGGGAAACTTGACAGACTGGAGAAATTAATGTATCCTGAGAGGTAGAGAAGAGCTCGTGAATGCTGACACGTGGCACTACCACTAGACCCATGTGCAGGAGCCCGTGAGGAGGGCAGGAGCCAGCAGCATCATTTGCCTTGGTTCCTCACATAGATGGGATCATGTGACATGGCTGCTTTAGCATAGTTTTTCCATTTGTTCCACAGCTTCCACCTGTCAGTGTAGTATTTTAGAGAACTCTGGGCTGAGATCTGCATTACAGTTTTGGCCCTGGCCACTACCTATTCTCAATTACTTTAGGCATTACTCCATTACGGATGCTGCACTGAAAATAGCTAGCACACCTAAAATACATTCATTTACCTCATAAATACCTATAACACACCTACTATGTGCCAGGTAGTATTCTAGGTACTGAGTATATGGCAGTGAATAAGACAGACAAGGTCTTGACATACCAGGGGATGAAATAGTTGATCTCTAAGGTCTCTTCCAGCTCTAAAATTCTGAGACTCCCTCTAACCAGATGCAAATAAACAAGGCAGACTAGTGGCAAAAAAACATGCTCCAGCTGCCTTCCCCTGTTCTCCTTCTCCCTTGGTGCCATCTCCATCTCAAACTCAGCTCTCAGAAATAGGAGATCTGGTATCATTTGTACTTTGCCTGCAACTCAAGATTTAACTCTTCCAAGGACCTGTTATTTAAGCCTTTTACCTCTTTTTTTGCGGAAAGGCTTTGTCTTGGTTGGAACTTCAGGAAATTACAAGGAGCCCTGGAAAGATACTTTAGGCAGAGTCAGGTGTTTTGGCAAAAGAATAGGGAAAGGCAGAGTAGCCTCCTCCTCTAACTGTATCTCTTAAGTTTGCCTGAAAGCATCGTCGGGCAGGTTCCTCCTCTCTCTTCCGGCTGATAGGCATCCCCTGGTCCTATCTCCTTTCTTCCACCTCTGACTTGGCCTTAAGGCCCAAAGTTTCTACCACTTCAGTATTTGGTGTTCCAATTGGGAAGGAGGGATTCAAGGATTCTCAATCATGTGGGAGAAGGGAAGTCATAGGCTGCAGAGCAAAGAGAGGTTCTTGGGTCAGGAACTTGATTTAGAGTTCCAGACCACTGTCATTACAGGGGAGTTATCGGGCATGGGATAGCACGAATAAGTGTATCAGTGAAAAATCAGGACTTTAATGCTGATCCTGGATGATTAATGTGAAATCAAAAAGTAAAATTTTTGTTGGACTATGTAAAACCAGGTTTATTTGTCTCATTACCATGAGACAAAAGTTATATGAAATTATATATCAAATTGACATGAATAATTCTTTATTAACAGCAAATTCTGCCTTCAAATTATCTAGTATATAAGGAATTAGAAGGCATAGAAAAACAGATGAGAAAGACTCAGCCCCCTTGCCTATTAACTATAATCTTGGTACCTTACCTCCTCTGTGGCTGTTTCCTCAAGTGTAAAATAATACTTGCCTCATTTATCTCACAGGGTTGATGTGAGAATCAAGACACGACATACTGCAAAGCATCTTATGCAGAGGCACAATTTCTTAGGATGGTGGCCTTTGCAGTCCTGGTATTTAGCTGTCTTCCGCCCTCTTGCCTTTCTCCTTGCTCGCTTAGGTGTCCCTCAAGGACCTAACTACATTTTCACTATACTAAATCTTAAAAGGTTATACAGACACTAACATATAGCTAACTCTCCCTCCTAAAGCAAGAGGCTATTCCTTCATTGTGCTTGAGACCTCTTATTACCAAGCACTGGAAGGAAGAAGGGAGGGCAGTGACAATGCGTATTTTCTTCAGATAGTTATTTCATTTTATTATAAAAAGTTTTAGGCTTTTCCTTTATGCAAGATACTCGAATGGGCTCAGTGGGATGCAGCATCATGCATCTAAAATAACCTCAGCTTGGAGTCTAGCAGACTTTGAGTTCAAATTCAGACCTGTCCATTTACTTAGCTATGAAGCCTTGGCAAGTAATGCTTACTCTGAGCTTCAAGTTCCTCTTCTGTATCAGGGGGTATGACATATCTTGCAGTGTTATTAAAATGTCTGTAATTAATGCCTGAATGACTGGCACATAATGAGATGCCAGATGAGTAACAAGGTCCATCTTCAAGACCAAAGCATGGTCATAGCAGTTGTGTGGATGATGAACCATAATAACCAACAGAAAAGTAAAGGGATGGAGGGGTCATCTTCAAAAAATAGCGAGGGTCTTTTTCCTGGCAGCTGAATGATCACTGTGCAAGGTGCTTCAGAAAGCATTTCTGTTCAACTCTAGGATCTCTTCAATTTCTAAAGTCAAAAAAAGAAACGTCCAATTTAAAGAGAAAAAAATTATAAGGTAAGTTCAAATACCAAAGGGCAAAGATAAGATAATAGTGTCTGTGTTGTAGTTATACAAATGGAAAGAAAGAGAAAATTAGTGACTGCTTCTAAACTGTCACTAAAAATACGATTTAAAGGTTTATTATAGTCTAGGTATTTTTAATTTTCCCTTTGGTAATAATCCGCGTGGTTGATGCTAAAAAGCGCAATGATAGGAAACTCAGTGGTTTTCAAATATGAAACTTGTTTGGGTTGAGAAGTAAAATGGAAATAGGTGAGTTGACAAGTTAGTAATTTTTGTGCTCTGATTTGCTTTAGAGACAAGAATAGTGGGCTGAATTATCAATCAACTGCAATCTATTCCAAGTTCCAAGATTTTCTTGCCTGGGCTGTGTGACCATGGGTAGGTTTTTAACTTCTCTGTGCTCAGATTCCTTACTGACTAAATGAGGTCACCATCTCCCTGTCAGGTCGTATGTGTTAAATGTTTTGAACTGAGATTAAGGCCAATTGCTACTGGCATTATATTCATTCATAGTTAAGCAACTCTAAGCAGGTCAGGTACAAGTTATTGAGGAGAAAGGCAAATGCTGAGGCAAAATTTGCATAAAATCTAATGATACTCCTAACTGTGCAGTGTGGACCCTGGAGTCCCATGAGGGAGAACAAAGGACACCTCTCAGCTTTCCAGGTTCTTCTCTATTATAATATAAAAATCTACTCAGATATTGTTAAGATTAATTCATATATTTCTGTAAAGATAAATATCCCTGAAATAAAGCAAATCTACCGTTTGCTTAAGAGAAATGGTTTTCAGATTCCCTTCTTATAAAAAGTAATTTGACCTCTTCCCTCTATCCCAAATCCCTGAGACTTTGAAAGGATAAAGAAACCAATTTGGAACTCTTTCAAAGGATTTATTTGCTACAGAATTGCTTGAGCCCACCAACAAGATGAACTCAGGATTTCTGTGTTTAAAGGATTTTGCTCGCTGCTTTTACAAGTGCTTCGACATTCAAAAAGCAATTCTTTTTGCCAGCATTTGGCATGTCTAGAAGAGGTTAGAAAAAGGGTTAGAATCTATAGAATTAGATGTCTAAAAATAGAAAAAACCCCGAACATTTAAAAATTACTCATTTGGACAGGTCCTGAGTTGAAATCACATTCATCTGCAAAGAGAAGTGTTTTAGGTCAGAAATTCTGAATTTTATAACTCCAGATCCTGACCTCGGACTTGACTGGTGAGGCTTCCATGCAGTGCATGAATGTCAGGAGAGACGCCATTCAGTTGGCCAAATCTGGCATGTCTCCTACCTGGTTTGCGAAGTTTTATAAATCTCTTAAACCCAAGCGTCCTGGTTCCCTGACACCGATTGTCTCAATCTAACTCTCAAGGCTTTTTTAAACAAATGAACAAATTTTTTTCCTGCAACATCACACATTTAAATATTTGTTGCTTGTGGATAAATAGAGAGAAATCAAGTATGGATGAGAATTAACAATTCAGCAACGGAGCTGTGAATCTCTGGATGGCTATGTAAGCTGTAAGAAAAGGCCTTCGCTGGCTCTACACTTGCTGTGCACACCAGAGGTGACTATCCAGGCAAAGTCAACCTGAAGAGGGTGTGAACCCCAGCAGTTGCTCGATGGGTTTAAACCGCCACTCATCTGCCTCCAGCTCTTCTACCAAACCAGCTAGTTTTTCCATCCGAGCAACTTGCTGATCTGTAAAGAGTTAAAGAGGTAATATATAATATGACTTATTTCCCACGAGACAGTTGCCAACCACCAACATGATGATTGGTTTAAAAATAATCTCTAGGACTTTTTCTCCTCAATATTCTAATAATGGGGTCTTACTCTATGTTGATCAGAAGACTTAATCTTAAAAATAAAGTAGTACTTATTCTCCATGTTATAGTGATGTGTACTAAGATCCTAGGGTTACAGGCAATTGCAGTCCCCTCCTGCCCATTATGCCTTCAATGGAAAAATGGTCTGGTGGGGGAACATAATGCCCTGATACATAAATGAAGGGCTGGTAAGGCATGATGGAACAGAAAAGGTGCTACCAGGATCTTAGAGTCCAAGTAGACCATGAGGTATTACATAAATACTTGAAGATGAAGATGATGATGGTAACCAGCGGAGGATAACAGTTAAAGGTTTCAGAAAGGAGAGGAAAAAGCAACATAAGAAAAGCAGAAAGCATTAACTGCCCTAGAAAGCTAACCCTTTGACTTCAATTTTAAGCCTTTATTCAGACATTAAATCTGGATTAAGGCTATAGAATGTTCTTGTCTGCAGGTAATTAGAAAGTCTACCTTGCTGAATTTCAGGAGTTCGACCTTTCTGAATTCCCCTCTTCACCCCCATTCCCCACCCTCCAGTAAATTCATTCTCATAGTTAGGTATATAACATTCATGTGCTTACCATGTTTCACCTGTTTAAGTGTAGATGCTACTTGATAGCTGAAAACCGATTCACAGAGAAATCTCTCAGAGCCATCTACAAACAAAAGAGAAAAAGTTTTCTCTCTAAGGGTTTAATGGCTTCAGTAAACCAAGTAAACATGCCCATTCTTTTCCCTGCTTTTACATTCAGGGTCTGCTTTTCAGTGTTTACAAAGAAGGTTTCTGTTTCATTTAGAACTAACACTGCTCTGTTATAAAAGCTACTTCTTCTATACCTAGAATATTAATATAGTCTACTTGTTTAAGAGTTTAAAAATAGTGTTTAAAAAAACAAAAACAAGAAACCTCAGTCTGATGTCCTGGTCAACATCCTCCGCCCCCCAACCCAATAGTTTCTTAATGTTCTCCTATTCTGTATATCAGGCAAACACTGAAAGCCGACACATTTGGCCATATGACCCTTGTGCTATCAAAACACAAAGGTACATCAAAACTCTAAATCATTTTCATTCTAAAAAGTAATGCTGAGGGAAAAATAGTTCTTGTTGATTTTTAGTATATCAAATTACGTCGCTATGACCATGACAAAACACTGCTGGGAAATTTCTGTAAACGCAAATTGTAACCTTGATTTTCCAACTGAACCAAAACATTGCAATTTGGATGGCATTAAGAGTATAGTGCAATTGCAAAACCTAGCATTGTACTGGTGCTGAGAACTGGCAACAGGAAGGTAGCTAACTCAGTTGTCACAGCACTGAAGGTGATTGTGAAATATAGGCTAGTTCATGTTATTCCTTGTCAGGCAATGGCTGATACAGCAAAACATACCCCCAAAGACATCAAGCTCATGTATGAAATGTGACATTTAGAAGGGTAGCTCGAACCATTTGGAAGAGGTGCCTTATTGCAAAAATCCCGAAACAAATGGAAGGAGAGGACATGGCTGTCTTTTTTTAGTTGGGAGTTCATGCCAGCACTATTAGGTGTCAAGCACTCACCCATCATGTATTGGTGTGTCAGCCAGGTATTAAGTGACAACAAATTAGGACTAACACATTCTGGCTTCATGCTGACTTTCACACAAAGCAGACCTTATTTTAGAATTCATGGTAAACAGTAAGAAAAACTACAGATATTGTGTTTAAATGGCTTGAATATATAACCAAGGGGGCTTCTGTCCAATATTATCTTCAAAATTGGTGCAAAATATACATATTTTTTCATACATTTTATGTATTATTTCAAAATATAATTTATTTCAGAAAGTGATGTACATTTTAGGGATAGTGTTATAGTCTTTAAATTCAACCTCTTTTCTACATATTGTGCTATATGGAATGTGATCCTATCTCCCCCTCCCATGCCCATTCCTCTGGCTGAATGTAAGTCATTTATGAGCAGATCATCTAAACTGAGCAAAAAAAAAAATTTTAATTAACTGAGTATTATACTGATCTTCATACATTTAAAGATCTAAGTAAGCTAATGGTATCACGGAGTTTTTCAGATAACTGGGCAGCAAATAACTATGAACTCCACTATGAGAAGAAGGGCTACATTAACATTTAACACCAATGATGCAATTATGGTTTTTCTACGTAGATATGTCAGTATTTATTATCCTATTCATACCCTTGCTTAAAGAGTCAAATTATAAATCGCATTTTATTTTAGAAAGAGCAAACCATAGAGAATTAGAGCTCACTTCTCAGGTAGTTTCAGCCTGAACTATCCTGAACTTTAGGACCTCACATAAGGCCGTGGGAATTATTGACTATAAGGATCAGGCCAAGATGTATTTGGAAGTGCTTGGAAGTGCTACCTTCCACTTACAGCTAATCACAGGTGCTGTAAGGATAAAATGCTTAAATTATAACATTTGCATATTTCCTTTGATAATTAACTTCAAAGCAAAAGGATGTGAGCTAATCTTTCAAAGGTTATAAATGTGGCACTCTATACACCTTTCTACATGCCTTTGCCACTATCACTTTGCCTCACGATATGCCTATGGAACACACTTTGCTCATTTGCAGCTCTTTATTAACCACGAAGTCCACTGCTTCTTAGCCACATTCTATTAAATGTGTTATCTGTACCAATATAAATCCTGGAATTTCTTCAGAGAGGAGTCAGTCTGGGGGAATCTGTCTTTCACTTAGAAATTGTAATCAAACCCTTTGTAACGCACCAAGTAGCAATATATCAGCTTTCCTCTTAAGGGATAAGCAAAGGTTATAAATAGTAAAAAGTTAAGTAAATTGCCCAAATGTAACACCATTGCAACACCAATAAACAGGACGCTAACAACTTCATCATTAAGAGAATATTACCTCACAAGAAATTAGACATTGCCAGATAATTTATATTTCAGTGGCCTACAATGTCACTAAAATCTAGCCACTTCTGTGCTGGAAAGCAGTGTCTAATCTGCTCACTACTAATTGGATAAGGACAATCTTAGCCAAGGACATAATACTGAAAACTGCTGTATACTGCTTATGTGAGGCATCTGTTATCAGTGAGTAGGTAGGTGCACAAAAAAGTTAATTCAGGTTAACTACAGGTTATTTGGGTTTATTTATCTTAGATTTAGAGGATGTAAGATCAAGTTGAATCTGTTAAAATTATCAACAGCATCTGATCTTGATTCCTGATCATTTTTGTTCCTTAGTCTGGACAGACAGAGTAAGGAACTACTCTATTTTCATATTCAATTAAACTACTGTAAGAAAAATGGTCATGTACATGGTGTGTTAATTGCATAGTAATATCACCTATAAACATGGTAGAAGACACTTCCAAATCTAATATCCTTATTAACTCACACTTAGGAGTACTCTTTTCAACTTAACATTCTTGATTTGACGAGGATAGTTCATGTATTGCCATCTCTAGTTTTTCAGTCTGTCTTTAAATCAGCATCTTTAAATATGGGTGAAAATTTTAACCTAAGATAAAGAGTCAAAACTATGCACTGTGAATTTAAAGTTGATATAAATTCATCCTACATTAGAAAGCCAACACATTCCTTCATAAAGCATATTGGGATGCAATAAAAATGGATAGAACTGTATAACTTGTTAGAACATCAACATTCAGACAAATCTCAGAAACCTTTCTTCTTTTAATGTTTCTAAGTAATCTGGTGTATACTGACAAAGAATGCTTATAGCTTTGAGATTAAGGAGGTACCTTCAGTATTAAGTTCTTCCTGTAGCTAGAATTTAAATGACTTCGACCTTAGAGTCCATTGTTAAACAGTGATTCCTCTTCTGCTGCTATAAAATTCATTGAGCAATTTAAATGCCTCCAACTTGTTTTGTGGGAAACTTTTTAATACTAGGTCTCTGGTGCATATAATTAAAGTCATAATATACTTTTAGTGCAAATATAGTAAACAAGGCCCCAATTGTTCACTGCCTCCAGACTCGGTGATACTAACTTGAATATTTAGTTAAAACAACTGAGAAAACGAACAGGCAAAGACAGAAGTATATACACCTCAGATGCATCATTAACTACGCTAGTTGGTCATCTACTTCACTAATCATGATCTGAATCCATTCTAGAAAGCCTTATGGTCTTAATCTTTCCATGTTTTCCTATCAAAATGATTCTTCTGTTTGCCCTGGCTTAACCCAAAACTCTGCTTTTTTATTATACCTGATAAACGTGAATAAAGATCACTCCAAGATGCTGACTCTTGACTATAGTTTGTACTTTTCTCGGAGACATTTCCAGATTAAATATACTTGCTAATACTTGCAATATTAAAGGCAAAAAAGATCTATAAATAAGCACAAAAGTGCTACAATCAAGTAGATTTTGAATGTGTAATAGGTTCTTCGCTGATTTCTTTCAAAGTATGATGAATAGTTTAATAGTTAAGAACCATTTTCATGAGATTCCCCTGGATGTTAGTCAAAATGAAGATTCCTGTACTGCGCCCTAGACGAATTCAAAATCTCTGAGGTGGGCCAGAAATGTGCATTTAAATAAGCTCTTCAGGTGATTTTTATGCTCCTTATTAAGAATTTATTAATGTAGCTCCTAAAGTGATGTGAATCTGATGAATTCCAGGTACCAATGCGTTTCATGCTTACAGCCTGTGCCCTGATCTTGCCCAGCCAGTTTGCAAATGTGTGTTGAATAAGATGGTGGATAGTATGACGTAAAATCCAGCGTCATAGAAAAACCACATAGTATTGTCCTGCAGTGGGCCAGCACTGTCATCTTCATATATAAGAGTAGTATATTAGTTTTTCTTTTCAGAATCTCTTTGATGGGCTTAATATATCTGTAGGTTGACTACATAAGAAAAAAGAACCCTATTAACCACAGAGAGATAGGCTGCTGCCAGGATAAAGCAAACTGGAACAGGAGGTCAAGAGAATTTCTGGTTCCAGTGCTGACTTTGTCTTTAACATGGTCAAATCACTTTCACTTTTCCGGGTCTAAATAACTCTAGGTGACCTCCTGATTTCCAAAGTTATTTTCAGCTCCAACATTCTGATTGTTTTAAAGATATTATTTTAAAATGGGGACAAAAGATGAAATGTGGAGCTGAAATCAGGGCAAATTTATCTCTAATTCACTTAATAGCTTCTTTACAATTAACATTCATTGTAGGTCTGAATCCAATTTTTCAGCAAAAAGCAGCATGATATTACCTTCTAACATCTCTCCAGCTCCTTTGGGGTAGGTGAAAAGAGCTTTCCGTGGTGGGGCAAGGTCTGAGACACTGAAACCAGATCCAGTGACGGAACTTCCACTGACCCCGCCAGCTGAGGAGGATGATGAAGAGGCAGCCATTTCCTTTCTAGAAGAATTCTCACTTCACTACAGAGAAAGAAAAACATCAACTGGCAAGTTTATGGGAGTGAGATTGACAACATTTCATTCTAGCTGCCATAAAAGCCAGCATAAGTTTAGGAAAGAATTAGCTCTCTTTTTTTCTACCCTCTCTACTCCCGCTATCTTTTATTGATGCCTCAGGCCAAAATGTCACTCAGGATTTTAAGTGAAAATCTGTTTATTCTTAGTTTTTCTACTTAAAACATTACTTTCTACCATTAGCGAACTGTTTATGTTGCTTGGGACTGACCAATGGTGATTTATGGATTACGAAAGGGGTGACAGGACAGTGCCAAGGTAGCAATTTGACTGAGGAAATAAATTATATGAGGATAAAACAACCATGCCTCATAGTACAATCTGTCTTGGATACATCCTAACCAAGCCACACCAAAAATTCACTTATAAAATTTTCCAAATAAAATTCCAGAATAACACTGTGTTCTGTTCCCAAGGAAGGGGAATTAGTTAGGAAATACATATTGGCCCTTTTATTAAAAAAATTAAAAATTTTTTTCATCTAAATGTAATATACAAGTTGATCACTTGGTGGCATCCTAAAACTGGAACAAAACAGCGCAGGCAATGATCTGATTTCATGGCCTATTAGGAATAGAGCAGCTGTGGTATTTAATCCTGTCATATCAAAATAATTAAATAAATAAAAAAGTGCAAATGTAGATGAGAAAATCAATATTGAATACATGGTTCTTACAAAAGTTCAAAACAAAAACCCCTACTTTTATCATAGAAGCTTATACCACACATTTATAAGATTCTAAAAAAGTGTATTGTTTTCTTAAAAAGATGGTCTAGCACTGTGCTAATAGAATTTTCTGCCATTATGGAGATGTTCTAATGTTGTATTTCTGTGATGTCCAACATGATAGCCACTAGCCTCATGTGGCTAGTAAACTTACGTGATTGAAGAATCGTATTTTAAATTTTATTTGATGTTAATTGAAATTTAAATAGCCATATGTAGCTAGTGGTTACTGTATTCGACAGTGCGGCTCTAGTATTTAGACTAAAAAAATGATTACATTGAATTGTACACTTTAAAATGGCTAATTTATGTTAGGCGAATTTTAAGCTCAATTAAAAAAAAGATAAAAATGACTTTAAGCGGATTTTAAAAATGAATTTCCCTCTTTAACGGCCAGAGAGAATTTTGGCTGAAAAAATTTTCTTTTTGCTAGTTGCAAAATGCAAATGTTATTAAAAGTTGCAACTCATTTTTGAAGGACTAGAAAAAATGAGGCAATGCTTTGCAGATAGAAATCCCATATATACATAATCCAGTTCCCTAGCAAGGAAAATGATATACTGTGCATTTCTGAAAATCTAGCTGTTCTGTTTCCTTAATTTTGTGATGATGATTTTTAAAGCTGTGAGGGCAGCAGCGCTTAGTTTCTGATTCAATCATGTGTCTAAGAGTAATACTGATTAATACTGAAGTGAGATAACGGGAACAGTAAGGCAACTTCTATAATTAGAATGTCAGCCTATTTAAAAATGCAAATTGACTAATGACATTTTCAATCTTGTATTAGATCTCCTTTCCTTTTTTTCTCTGAGTTCTGTAACTTTCCAAATTGTACTCATATTCATGGAGGCAATAACTTTTCAAGTTAGATTCATATCCAATCCTTTGGACCACACTAGCTCAAAATATAGCTTGACAAGTTTCTAAATGCTCTTTTATAAAAAAACTGCTTAAGCAGTAATGTACCAGGTCCAAATTTCTAAGTGGATTCCTGTTGGGATCTAAATAAAGTATACAGACAACTTAGCTATCTTTTAGAGAGTAGCTTGGTCTTTTTCCCCATCAGTTCAGAATAGAACCCACTGTGAACTGTTTATATCTCTCACCTAAAATTTAAAACTCTAATATTTTTCCTATACCTTGATATATGCTTATTCAGTTGCAAATGTAAGGGATACTTTATATTTTGAAATCAAGTTGCTCAGCAGAGTACTTAAGCTACTGCCAGAGTGAGGACAGCTTAAAAGGCTAGACACAGTGTGACTTCTAAACTGAATATAATCAAAGAAATTCCCTTTCATCCTATTTTCTTTCAAATTCAGAATTACTAAATGCAATACACAAAACAGCCAGGGTTGAAAAATGGAGTGCAGAAGTATCACAAAGCTAACTTTAACATAAATAAGCAGTCTCCTGCTGAGGTGGAAAGATACACCTAAGTTATTTCTAGCTTTAAAGATTAAATTTTTAATGCTATCAGCAGATGGTAACAGGAGTTTAACAATAAACCCTAATTTTTCACTGCTCTGTGGAAGGCAGGCATTCTGGTCACCAGCACCAAACATAACTGCTTAGTCTATACTAAGTAGCTGTTGATTTAAATAAATGTTTGCTACATGAATTAAACATTTCATAGGAACCACAAAGTTCCTTGAAGGTCATCAATTCAACTCCCTCATTTTACAGACGACAAAATAAAACTGAGGTGTAGAGGCTTATTTGCTGTGACATTTTTCAAGCAATGGCTTTGCTGGCATATCATGTGCCATGTGAGAGGTGAAACAGCATAGTAAAGAGCTCATACTCTGAAGCCTCTTGACCTGTGCTCATGTCCTGGTTTTGCTACTTAACTTACTATATAACTCTGGACAAATCACTTAACCTTTCTGTTCTTCAGCTGCCTCATTTCTAAAATGAGGATAATAATAGTACCTACCTCAGAGGTGTCATGAAGATTAATATAACTAAAGCACTTGAAACAGTTACAGGCACAGTAAACATTTAATATTAGCTACCCAAAATCACTAATGCATATTTACCCTTGACCCCTTGACTCTTTCTCCTATGTAGATCTCACTTTTTCATACTTTTTAAAGTCCTAGTACACCCATGAAAAAGGTTCTAATTCTCTCCATTTGACCCTGAGTCAGTAAGCTCCTAGAGGGGAAAGGGTCTGCTCAGAAAGAGGGAAAATGTCCTCCATTAATGCTCTTAACAATTTCATTTTAAGGTTCATGACCTTAGGAAGAATCCTTGTATCTAGGAAAGGGAGAAGTTGTCTTTCTATTCTCCAGGCCTAGCACAGAACCTGGATGTCATTTTCTGAATGAATGATGAACAAATGACAGAACACAGGGCTAGCCACTCGGCAACTGTTATACAGGGGACAGAGAAGCTTCGTGTCATGAGGATTGGTCCATTACTGTTTACTTTTTCTTTCTGATTCTGCAGATGAGGTTACACAACTCTCTCCCAGTAGGCCGCCAGGCCCAAGGTAGGTGGTTAGGTAAGATTTTGTTGAATGAATAAATATTGATGAAGTGACTTTGGGTTTGGCCATATCAGGGAAGCTAGGACTATTGTTACTAGAGATCTCGTAGGAGAGCAATGCTATTTTAGGCGACACAGTATGACTGCGAACACACTAAGATAGTTAAATATTTACTTCGCATACAACAGGGATGTCCTCGTATTCATAAACTACTTTCCTTCCTAGCAGACATATACCTATTTTGTTAAAAAGAATCCTTCTTTTTGAAAAAGCCTATCCAAAAGGCGCTGAAAAAGATACCCTGGCTACAATGGCAAATTATAAACAATCATTAAATTTCATCAACAAATCATTCCACCGCGTTCCACTTAAATAGCTGGATTACCATTCAAACAGATTCTGCAGCTAAAGCCAGGTGGGATGGAGAGAAAGGGGCGGTTGAAAGAAGGGTTCAGAATGGCAACGATTCCCAAGCTAACTCCAAGACGCACTCCTTGCGCCTCTCCCCTCTTCCCCCACCTCTGCACTTTCCTCCTCCTCTGTGCTGGGTTCCAAAGGGGAGACGCCATAGGCGCCGTCCCACTGCGCATGCACCATCACCCCTCGGCCCGCATGCGCAGTCAGTCCAGCGCGGCCCGAGGAAATTTTCTCTTACACGCCCTCTGCTGTAGGCTCCGGTTTTCTACCCATCTTCTCCATTTTACTAGTCCCTGCAGGTAGGATTCCGGGGATCAACTCCCTTTCAACCAAGCTCCCGAGGGTCCCTGAGCCTTCGGCCACTTACCTCAACGGTTTTGGCACTTTCTTCAACAGCCCCGCCCCCAGGGCCAGCCGGAGCGGCCGCGCAGACTACGACAGGGACGGCGACGTGCTTGCGCGCGTGTTGTGGTGGGCGTGGCCAGGCTCGGAAGGCGTGAGGAACGTGCTCCCCGTGAGGACTCCGGAGTCCTTTGTCGCCTCTCCCTACCTCGGTGTACCTGTAGCAGCAGACTTCCTCTTTTCTTTACTCGTTTTGGGGTACTCGGTTTTTTTGCTTGCTTTTATGATTCAGGGCTTTAGCTTCCCTCACGACATTGCAGGCTTTCAGCTTTCCTCTCCAAACCACCAAGAAGCAGGGTTAAATTGGCCCCTTTCAGTCCTCTGAGAAGTCTTGTAGCCCAGGGCCAGTAGGGAAGGCAGATGAAGAGTTTGCTGCCTCTGAGGCAACCCCCTCTTCTTTCAAAACTCATGGTCTGAGAGCCTGACTTTGACATTAAAGTCTTTTTTGTTAATGGAGGTCCTGGGGAATGGGGCACTAGGGTGTACTGCCCTTAAACTTGCTAATTATGCCCCCTCTTCCTCCATTCAAGTCTGCTTTCTATGTTACTTCTCACAACATGAAATCTCTCTTTAGTTTTGTAAGCAAACTACTAGTTAAAGTGACTTACTTGCTGAGGGTTGGACCAAGTTTATTTAAGGATCGATCTGTTTTCTTTGGAATTCTTTATGTATTTTGGGCTTCAAAACTATCCAACCTATGTGGTAGAAACATCAATTGAACTTAAACGTAATCAGCTCATAAACAATTGTTTTCTCCTGAATTATCAGTTCATTAAGTAGTGACTAGAAGCTTGGCTTCTCAGTGGGTGTTGTACAGTTTGTTGAGTTGGATTCTTCCTCTCAGCAATGTTTTGGTTTGAAGAACCATGTTGGTTAAGTCATATTTTAACTATTTTTGTAGGCAGCCTGATCTAATTGTGTATATTTCAAGTACCTCTGAAAATATTCGTAAACTACTTAGAGGCTTCTTTTCTCCTAAGGGATAAGCGTATTAAATATTCCTAATTCTCTTAATTATCCTGGATAGAAAGAGTGAAACACTTCAAAGTGCTTAAACACAGAAGGTTGTATTTTATTCCTTTTAGGTTAAAGTAATAAACAAACCTCTATTCTCAAAATTATGGACAGACTGTATATAAAAGGCTCAGTATCTTTTAATCACTTTTTTTTTTGAGTGCTGAATAGTTTACAAATCACTGTCTAGAGTAAGCCAGGAATGGAGTAGTGTAGTGGAAAATACAGCGATAGGCTTAAAACAGCTTATGGGAAGTCTAGTGGAAACTGCTGCCTTTGCTTAGGATATACTGTGAACTGATGCCCAATTATGTTCTTTCAGGCATGCGTAATAGCCTGTGTAGTAGAGATAGGGTTTTTATTTCTGATTAGAACAAAAGGTAAGGTGATCATTTATTTTTCAGGATTTCACTGAAATATTATTTGAAGAAAATATGGAAGTTCTGCGCCCACAGCTTATTAGAATTGGTGGACGGATTTATAGGAAGAATCCTATTCAAGAACAGGCTTATCAACATGAAGAAGAGGATGAAGACTTCTATCAAGGTAATCCTAGTCGTTCCATGGTCAGATTAGAAGTAAAATGTTCTCTGTATTGTAGAAGCTGTTCTTTGTTTTGTTTCAGTGTATTTCTGTGTGAGTACTGAAATTTGAGGTGTTTGTCCTCAGATCCATTTGTGTTGATGTCTAAGGGGACTCATGAGTTTGAGTTTGATGAGGTGTTCTCAGTTGCATTTGTAAATTATGTTTCATCTTTGAACAGAGGATTAAATGTATTAAGGGGTAATTTTAGTTAACTATTAACTTCATCTGTAAAGTTTTGAAGTAATATATATGTAAATTATTGAAATGAACATATGTAAAGTATTTCATCCAGTGCCCAGTAATGTTAGCTATTATTATTGCTGTTATTTTTCTCTTCTTTGCAGTCATATACAGGCAGTTCCAAATACACAATTAACATAACTTAATTTTAATAATTTTAATAAGTAAACAGTCAAGATGGATTGTAAACATTTTTAGGCTAATTAACTTAGGCTTGGGTTTAATACATAAACAGACAAGGCCTTTCAGGTACTTTGCTTCCTTTTCTTTTTGCTTTAGAAGTTTTTTCATCGGGCCCTAAGTCTTGGAGGTTAGTCTCCCTCCTGATGCTCCCCGTTGTTTCCCTTCAGCCTTGGGCCTTTGAGCTCCTTTATTTCACCCTTCTCCTTTCTGTTTGTTTCTGTTGTAACTTACTATAGAGAAAGTTCTCCCAATATCACTACTACTTCATTCACTAGAATAATTGTGTATCTTAATACTAAAAACAACTGAGTGGTACATTTTAAGAGGATGAATTTTATGTCATATGAATTATATCTGCATAAAAAATAGTAAAATTTTTTAAATTGTACCTTAGCTTTCCAGGAGAAAACAAAGAGAAACAGTAGTATGTATATACTACTTTTCCAAGGTTCCAAGACTGGAAGATTTAAAGTAGTCATATGTTCTTTATTTTTTATTTTTTTTCTAAGCAGGTCAGAAGGAATGTCAGTATTCTGCAATGTAAAGTGTCAAGCTGTTCTTTTTGTGTGTGCGTATTGTCCTTTTTTTAAAACCTTGAGAGTGGTTGACTGACTACTGGGGAGAACATGTCCATAGACCAGCAGATCTGCACAAGACGTTCTGATTTCCGTACAGGCTTCATGGAGTGTGCCGAAGAGCCATGTGATGGCTATGAGGTGGTACAGACCCAGCAAGGTTTCCAGTGTACTGTGAAGGCCCCCAGCCTGCTTTACAAGTGAGTGAGGCCCCCTGCAGCTTCGTGGGGAGGCATTTACCAGGAAACTCAGCTGGAATCTGACTCTTCTCCCTTCCACATGTAATTTCAATGCTTGCTTATTATTATTATTATTTTTATTATTATTATTTATGCCTACAGCACCTGGTCTTCCTAGGTGGTCTCCCATCCAAGTACTAACCAGGCCCGACCCTGCTTGGCTTCTGGGATCAGACATCGGGCTTGTTCAAGGGTAGCATGGCCATAGACCATGGACCGTGGCTCCACTGGGGCGTGAACCCAGGACCTTCTGCGTGTAAAGCAGACGTGCTCACCGTTACACTATGGAACCACGTCCAATGCTTGATTATTAATGACAAAATAGTTTAATGTTTTATGGCCTAGAATCTAAGGACTGATTACAGATCAGTTTCATTATTCCATGTATACTACCCAGTTTTGTTGATTTTGCCTCATATATCTTTTGAATCCAGCAGTTTTCTCTTTCTTTGCTGCCACCCTGCTGCCTCTTCTGTGGATTACTTCAAATAGCCTGCTTACTAGTCTTTCCACATTGATTCTTGCTCTCCTCTCAAATCAGTTCTTCACATTGAGGGTGGAGTGATCTCTTTGAAAAGCAAATCTGATTATTTTATTGCCTCTGTTTAAAATTCGTCAACATCTTTCATTGAAGATAGAATTCTGTTTTGTTAGATTAATAGTCAAAACCTTGAACGGGACTTAGCAGGGCTTGCATTTTTCAGTCTTAGCCCACACCATTCTTTACCTGGCTTTGCACTTAAGCTCAACTGGTTTTCTTCAGTTCCTCAAATGTGATGTGCTCCTTCTTGCCTTAGAGCTTTGGCATATGCTGTTCCCTTTGCCTTATAATCTCTCTTCTTCCTTGCCCAATTATATTCTTCATCCTTAGGGAAACTTGCTTTGACACCATCATCCCCACCAACCACATTCATTATGCTACTATATGTTATTGTAACACTCTCTAGTTTTCCTTTGTAGCATTTCTCAGTCTCATGTTTATACTTATTTCTATGTTATTTGACATCTCCTCCATTAGATGTGAAGGGTCTTGAAGGCAGGCATATGTCTGTTACATTAATTCCCAGTACTCATCAAAGACTGGTATCCTTTTTCCAGGATCATCTTTATAAATTGTGTGGAAACTTTGTGATCAGTTCAACCTGTGCTTGCATGCCCACATTCTGTCCCATATTAACCACTAACATGGTTAGCATATATGGCTAACGGGCTTCTTTTGGGCTTATACCTCTGAGGGATCGGCTGGTCTAGAAAGTGCATAAATTCTTTTTTTGTGTTATACCAGACGAATTAGGTCTTTCCAAGCTCCTCTGAGAGAGGAAAATCTACAAATACAGAATCAAATACCTTTAAGCTTCAAGAGGCAATAGTATTCTGGACTTTGAGAGCATTCTGAACCTTGAGTGTATTTTGAAATGCCTGTTAAGGATGAAATTATTCTGGAAACCCTGACAGCTCACTTTCCTCTTAGGTTCCAGTGACATTTTCTTCTAAGAAACATGATTTGAGGAAGTCGTAGCTCAGTTTCCTGATAAAAGCAATGTAACATGTCTTATTTAATGTGTGTATCTGCTACTGCTAAGGTGTGTAAAAGTTCCTTAGATTTTAGATTCACTTGATTTTTTTTTTTGAGTATATTCTAAATACTCATTATGTTCCAGATGACTTGCATATTAGATTAGATATTGGTTCTGCTAAATCCTAATTAATAGACAAAATAGAAATTACCTGACTAAACTAGTTTATAATCAAAGTCTAATTTTGGTAACACCTGTCTGTGGATTAGCTCTGATATTGTGGTTTTCAGCCTCAAGTGCACATTAGACTCACCTGGGGAACTTTTAAAACTCCTGATACCTGGATGTACCTCAGACCAACTAAGTCAGAATATTCAGTTTTTGAGATACCCCAGGTGATTCCATTGCTAAGATTAATTAGCTAAGATTGAGAACCACTCAATTTGGTAGGAAATTTCCACTTATATATTTAATAATACAGTTACCCATTTACTGCATATTTGTATTGTTATAGTGAACGTCTTAGACTTTCCACGTAAACATCTTTTCAGTCTGGCTGTATTCTTAACTGGAAGGATGCCATTATGGGCTTAATGAGGATAGCATGGACTAAGCTATGTATGTGGCAGTTACTGGGAAGCCCATTTATGTATGATCACATTTAGTCCTTACAACAACCTTATGATGCTTAGGTATTATTCACTCCATTTTCATAAGTGAAGAAATAGGCTTATAGTGGTTAAATGACTTGCTCAAAGTTGGTTTGATTCTGAAGCCTCTTTAACCTCACCTCAACCACTTCCCTTTCTAAGATGTGTAGACTGTTAATAACTCTTTGAGCCAACTACTTTTTGTGATACACTTGTCCACTAACAACATGCTATCAAATAAGAGCATAGTTGAAAGCCACCCGTTATTGATAAGGCCTGGAAAGACAAAGTCCTGACAGAGTTGATACAATAGCCTAACACAGAAGAAGACCACATGGGAATTGTGAGGTTCTAATCCTCTAAACATCTTGTTTTTTAAAAAAACTAGCTTACTACAATAGATCTTAATGGAAATAATTTGGCTTGGTTAGCCTATCTAAAAGCAAATGCATAGTTTTAGACAGTCACCCATGCTATTGGGTACTGTAATTGAAATCATAAAAGCTAAAATACTGTTGATGATGGGGAGTTTTTTTCTCTTAACTTTATAGTCCTGTGACGGTCTCTTAGTGCTTTATAGATTCTGAAACTTTTCTCCTGGGATCCAGTAGTCTCATTCACTGTAACGCGTCTAATTACTCTGGGTTTCAGAAGATAACTTTGATTGACAGAGTTATTTATACTAGGAGAGCTAGGCAGGTAATGTAAATGAATCAATAGATGATTGAAGTGAAGTAGGTGAAAGGTGGTAAGGAGTAATGGGAATTGTGATGAGCTCATGTTCTATTTTAGGGACGAGAGAAGGCTTCAGCCTATTGCCATTTGTTGAATCATCTAATTTATCTAAAGAACCTAGAAATCTAAATTTTTAGGTGAAATCTCCCAAATAAAACATGTCTATTTGATTCCAGCCTCCTGAGGGTTACCTGTTTACTCTGTGCTTTTGAATCTATCCTGGTGGATCCTGCTCTTTAATTAATCAAGAATATGTCCCTTAGGACTCATAGTTAATTTAATCTCCAAAAGGACAAGGTTCTACCCGCCTCAAACTGTAGTACCATTGGTTGCTGGAATTGCCTTTGAGACTATGCCAGCTTTCCTTTCACTTGAACTGCAGATTCAGATTTTAATCTAATTTTGAGAAGCAAACAGGTGTTGCATATAGATATTCTGCCTATACATTGAATTAACTTTAGGACATAATTTTGTCAGTAAGTTTAATGCAGCATGTTCTGTAAAGCTGAATGACTTGTAAATTCCTCTACAAATATTGAGCTTTTATGGAAGCATTTTTCTGTAAGAGAGTATCTCTGGCTACATGTGATTTAAACACAACAGAATTCTTATTTTGGTACATTTTTGCTTAATTTCCTTCCATTAATTAATTTTTCTTTATATTATAGGCATATAGTTGGAAAGAGAGGGGACACTAGGAAGAAGCTAGAAGTGGAGACCAAAACTTCTATTAGTATTCCTAAGCCTGGACAAGAAGGAGAAATTGGTGAGACCCAGTATATATAAGTTGTATTTGCAATCACTTCTGCGTGCGTATGGAATGATATAACCCAACTGAGCTGTTTAGTGACTATATTCTTTATGAAGTTCTACAGCTATTGCACTTTTTGTGATATATCAGTATCAATCTCCCAAATGAGGAAAGATATAGTTATACAACCTTATCTTGATTGACTACCTGGGCCTTCATTTACCATACACTGATGGGAGAAAGTTTCCAGATTTCATTGTGTATTAGGTTTCTTTTATGCTTTAGTGATGGACTTTGTGAATTGTTTCAAGTTATAATTAGAGAAAACCAATGAGATTTGCCAATTTGAAATAAAGTCCAGCCCTTTCCATAACTGTTCTCCTGTTTTGACCTTGCTTTGTAGACCATGAAGGAAATGATAAGAGTAATGATTAAATTAACAACCCGATTTAAATAACTGCTTAGGTGAGGAAAAATAGTTTGGCAGGATAAGTCAAGTCAGAAAGTGACTGTACCTAGTCCCTCCTTATCTGCAGGAAGATATGTTCCAAAACTCCTAATGGGTTCCTGAAACTTTGGATAGTACCAAATCCTGTAGGTACTGTTTTTTCTTATACATACATAGCTATGATAAAGTTCATTTATAAGTTAGGTACAGTAAGGAATTAACAGCAATAATTAATAATATAACAATTATAAGAATATACTATAACAAAATTATGCAAATGTGAGAAAAAAAGAAAACGACTGTACCAAGCATCAATGTGAACCAAGTGCACAGGCTCATGCTGTAAAATGGCTTCAAGTGAGGGGCACTATAGGGACAAGTTTTAAAAACTCATCCTAAAACTATAGGATTTTCTCAAAGTCAAGTGCAACAGCCTCCAATAATCCATTTTCCATAAACACCCATACACTGTATTAAGTTTTAAGAGAAAATTACAAATACTGTTCTTATTTTGTGCTATATAAGAGTAATCACTGTAACAGATAAGTAGCAATTAACTTTAGAGCAGTGCTGTCCAAAAGAACTTTCCGTGATGATGAGTATGTTCTATATCTGCACTATCCAATACAGGAGCCGCTAGCCACATGTGACCGAGTACTTGAAATGGGCCAATGTGACTGAAGAACTGAATTTTTAATTCTATTTAATTCTAATTTTAACTTTTAGTTTAACTAGCTCCATCTGGGCTCCTGTATTGGCCAGTGCAATACAGAGTTCCCAAGCCCCTTGGTAACTTCGCTAAGCTCTAGCATAAGAATTTGAATGACATTTTTGAAAGACTTTTATTAAAATAAATACTCAGTTCATTAGAATTACAAATATAAAAAGGGCCTTTAAGCTTTAAAGTTCAGGTTACGAATATTGAAGTAATTTTATAATTGTATTTAAGCTTAATTCTCTAGTTTTTTTCTGATTATAAAATTAATATATGTTTTCAAAAAAAAAGAGCTTGCAGAAATTATGTATTAGGTATAAAGGAAAGTCTTTTATAATATAAACCCCAGACATAATCGCTATTAACAGTTAAATATGTTCTTCATTTTTTTCTATCCATATAGTAACATACAATAATTTTTATCATATGGTATAAATGTTGAGGCCTTAGCTATTTTAAGATACTGAATCATTCTAAAATTTATCTAGAAAATGGTAGGCAAGTTGTAAAGATTTGATTTTGACTTAGAAAGCATAGATATTTCATTGTAAAAAGAGTGTGTCTAATCATTAAATGTAAGAATTTAGTGGAACTAATTTAATTGAAAAACAAGAAGATAAACTGACTTATTGGTCTTGTAGGGAAGTAAAGTTTATGGAAAAATCAAATTTATTGGTTAGAATAAATTGAGTTGTGATGTGAAATCAAGGCTGCGTTGCTTTGGTGTGGTATTTGCTATCATTTATTCATTTTCTTTTGCCTCTTTTCAATTAGAGAAGGAAATGATCTAGTAGGTTTTAATTTGTCTTCTAGGCAAAGATCTGTTCCAGGCAATGGGATAGCGGAAGAAACTTTAAAATGATATTATTGTAATTAGAGAATAGTTTTTTACAGTTTAGCTTCAGTGCCTTTAATTATTTTCTTCCTACATATCTATTTTAGTCTTTAGACCTATGCTTGTAAATTCTGGTCCTCTCAGATATTTGTAGTTGTGGAATATTTCTAACCTCATCATATTTGCTTTTTTGTCATTATTTGATCAACTTTGCATCTTTTCCAGAAATCAGTCAGAGTACCTTCCAAGTGCCCTTTTCAGCTTACTGTGTTAGAAAAATGAAAACACCTTATTAGTCTTATTCTCTACGAAACTTAATGAAAAAGAACAGATTTAGCATTTTGTACAAAACTGTTACAGAAATAAAACATAAACATGGGTTTTAAGTTTCCCTTCCTTCTACTCCTTTTCTTTTTAATTTTTTCCTCATTTTTCAGTCTCTAGCAGAGCTGATTATAATTTCTACTTTAATTTTGTCCCAGTTTACCTTTGAACCCTCTTTTATCAGTATTCCTCTAGCATAATATTTGAGTGTCTGCTATGGATACTTCCCTTCACTAGGCATTTGAGTCTTTTGGATTTTCAAAGTATTCTATCCGATAATATAAATAATGTCATTAGGAAACACCATATCTCTCCTTACAATTTTTGGTAATTATGTCAATTTTTTATTCAGGCTTTCCGTTAATCCATTCATTCGTAATTGACTTTTTTCCTAGAAATTTCCATCTTATTTCTCTACAGCAAAATGAGTATGATACTTTCATTCTTCTTAAGAAATAGAAAGGTTCTTATAGAAAATTTCAGGTGCTTTAATGGAAAGTATTAGAACAAATAAATGGAATTATTTCTTTAACTTCTGGAGCTGTCTGGAAGAAACAAGCTTTGTGGTCTTTAAAGTACATAGCACATTTTGCTACTATTATAGTTAATACTTAAGTGTTTTTATCATATTCAGAAGTCTGTCTTTTACTCTTTAATAGTCTGTTGAAATGCCAGTTTTGTTTGTTGTTCATATCTTCTGCACCTTTCCTTACTTTCTGTTTTGAACCAGACCTTGCCAGTTCTGAAACCTATAGGTTTAATCTCTGCTTAAACAGAGACTGTGTAATCCCTAAATGGTTTTGTTTCTTTGCAGACAGTAGTTTATGCCTTGTGACTTTTTTCCCCTCCTACTTTCATTTATATGTACATAATGACACAGCCCAGATAGAAGAAGGTCAGATTATACCAAAACATGGACTTTGGGTATCCATACGTATAATACAGATATAGATAAACATTTTAACTTTCTATTTTCATAAATATAGGATAGGATTATATGTATCGTAGTAGACTCTCCTTTGTTCCTTTACTATAATGAATCACTAATAATTTTTGTCTCAGTATTTCAAAAAAATTTTTAAATTTATTTTTAAAATTCACATGACAGAAAATTCAATTTTTTGCTTTTAATTTTTTATTGTTATATGAATTTCCATGTGATATATTGTTCTTACTTTTAAAAAGTTGTGGTAAAATATACTCAACATAAAATTTACCATTTTGACCATTTCAAAGTGTTGAATTCAGTGACATTTAGTACCTTTACAATGTCGTGCAACCATCACCACTACCAAGTTCTAGAACATTTTTGTCATCCCAAAAGGAAACCCATTACCCATTAAGCTGTCGCTCCCCATTCTTTCCTACCCCGAGTTCTTGGCTACCCAGTAATATGCTTTTTGTCTCTATGAATTTGCCTGTTCTGGATTTTTCCTATAAACGGAAACATAGAATATGTGGCCTTTTGTGTCTGGCATCTTTGACTTAGCATAATGTTTTCAAGATTCATCTGTATTTTCACATGTTATCAGTACTTCATTTCTTTCTCTAGCTGAGTAATATTCCATTGTGATACCACATTTTGTTTATCCATTCATCAGCCGATGTACATTTGTGTTATTTCTACCTTTTTGTTTTGTGCGTAGAGCTTCTATGAATATTTTTATATGAGTTTTTTTTTTGAACACCTGTTTTTACTTCTTTTGGTTTCTATCTAGGAATGGAGTTGCTGGATCATATGGTAATTCTATTTTTAACTTTTTAAAGAACTGCCAAACTTTTTCATAGCAGCTCACCATTTTCATTCCCCTAACAAGATATGAGGCTTTGCTTTGGATCTTTTAAACTCATTTTTCTACTTCATCAGCTGGTCTTAAGGATATTCTGTATTAGACCTCATTCTGCTTAGATTGAATTCATTAGTAACTTTCTTACCTTTGGTACTGTCCCCTGTTCAGAATTATACATTCAGGACTGTTTTAGCTCCCCACAGTATCAAGAAGTCACCTATCTAACAAGCATTAGATGATCCTTAAGCATTTAACACTTTTGTTTTTTGTTTATAGTAATCACTGGCCAGCATCGAAGTGGTGTAATTTCAGCCCGAACTCGGATTGATGTTCTTTTGCTGACTTTTAGAAGAAAGCAGCCCTTCACTCACTTTCTTGCCTTTTTCCTCAATGAAGTTGAAGTTCAGGAACGATTCCTAAAGTTCCAGGAGGAAGTACTGGAGAAGTGCTCTATGGTAAGCAGCAAATGAAACAAAGAAAGTTTAAAAGAATAATGAAGAGTACAAAAATGGTTCATAATTCAAGCACTATATATAAACTCTACTCCCACTAAAAAAAGGTGATCATTTCTCATGGTTTCTTTTAATTCTGAACTAAAAAAATTTATATAGACATCAGTACATGAATCTCTATGTATTACTGAAATATTCGTTAAAATTTTCAAGGCACAAAAAGATCTTCTAAATATACACACCATTCTGTACCTTGTGGATAGCAATGTTAATGAGGTGCCATTATCTGTAGATCTTCTGCCCCTGGGCAGACATGGCTTATTGGGGTTAGTAAATAAAAAAACAAATTTGCATATGGAATATTCATACTTATGTAACAGTGAAATGCTTGTGCCCAGGATAATAGCAGATAATTTAGATTAGAAAACAAGTTTTAAAACTTTTTTGATATAATTTCAGGTAATTTATTTATTATTTATTTATGTGAATTAGTTTCAAGTATATAGTACATTGGTTAGACATCTATATAGTTCATAAAATGATCCCTCCAATTGTTCCCTCCCTCACCTGGTCCTCCACCTAGCCATCATATTAATGCTAACTGCATTTCTTCTGCTGTGCTCCCCATCCCTGTGACCAACTATTAACTACTAATTTGTACTTCTGTAAGCCTTTACCCTATTTCCTCAGTCCCCCAACCCCCCTACCCTCTATCCGACATCAAATTGTCCACTGTATTTGCGAGTCTGGTTTTGATTAGTTTGTTCTTTTTGTTCCTTTGATTCCTCATATAAGTGAAATCATACAGTATTTCTCTTTCTCTGTCTAACTTATTTCACTCAGCATAATAACGTTTAGGTCTATCCATGTCATTGCAAATGGTAGGATTTCACTTTTTTCCAATGGCTGAGTAATATTCCATTGTATATATGAACCATAATTTCTTTATCCAGTTGTCTGTTGATGTGCATTTAGGTTGCTTCCATATCTTGGCTATTGTAAATTGTGCTGCCATGAATATTGGAGTACATAGATCTTTACGAATTATGGTTTTCATTTGTTGCTTCTGTAAAAAAAATTATGAAAGTAGTATAGACTTAATGAAAATTTAGAAAATAAGAAGAGATTACTAAAAAGTCACCCCAAATCTCACTATTGAGAGATAATATTGTGGCATATTTGTGTGTGTGAATACACACATATTTAAAAAATATGTCTTGTATATGGTTTTATATCATGTTTTCTTTGAAATTTAGCATTTTACCATGATCGGTGTCTTGTTATTGAACAAAAACCTAAATCTTTTACCTTGGTTTTAGAGACCAGAAAGGAAATTACAGTAGTGATCACTAAAACATGATCTGATTTCAGTAACTGTTCACATCGTTACCTCTGGGTGAAATCTGGCATTGCCCCAGTGGCATGTAGGAGGAGGAGGATGGTGGTGTGTTGTGTGTTGTCCCTTGGTTCTTCCCTGCCGACACAGCAAAGAGTTATAGGTCGGCGAAATTTAGAAAAAGTAAGATTTATTGAAGGTGCATTTTAGAAGGACATGGGCCATGCTAAGGAGGGCTGCAGCCCTGTGGAATTTGGAAGGTGAAGAGAGAAGACAGAGTATGCTCCAAGGAAGGAGTGGGTTTTCAGCAAGGAGAGCTTTAACAACTCAGAAATGGCAAGGTCTGTTTATATTTGGGTTGTGATGGGAGGTCCTAGATGATCCGTATGTGAAGTTACCTTGACTGACATTTGATTGCTGTATAACGCTTTGCCTACTACGCATGTGCTTACCCAGAATTTAGTCTTATAATTAGAATTGTTAACTATTAGGCATAAACATGATATTATAATGAAGCTTAAATTGTGGGTAATTTAGGGTAGTACCTTCTGCGCAGGCATCTGTGGATGGTTTAGCCAGTAGCTTTTATGGCCTTTGTGCTCTAGGATTTGAGGTAATTTATAACCCTAAAAGGGAGGTATTTCTGGGAGATCTTTGAAGAAGGTCTTCAAGGGAAGTTTCTATGGTTACAGAGCTGGGCCTTCTCTCCTGTGCTCATGCCTAACTACCTAACAAGATGACATTATTTTTAATGGCTGCTTTCTATTCTGTTATATGGCTGTATAATAATTTCTTTTAATTTTCTATTTTTATTATCATGAATAATGATGTTATGAATATTTTTCTACATATGTTTTTCTGCACTAATCTAATTAGTTTCTTAGTAAATTCCTGAAAGTGGAAAAGGGTATGTGTATATTGGTTTTTGATATGTAGATTTAAATTACCTTCAGGAAATATTATAGTACTTTATACTGTAGTTTTCTTTTCCCACCCTTACCAACACTCGGAGTTATAATTCTTTACTGTTCATTTATTTGATTATTGGTAAGATAAGACTTTTTCATATGTTTAACTCTTGTTTCTTCATGTCTTGGCTCATTTTTCTCTGAGGTTTTTTTTTTTTTTTTTTTTTAAAATACAGATGCTTGGGACCACCTACAGCTCTTGGTCTTCCTAGGTGGTCTCCCATCCAAGTACTAACCTACTTAACTTCCGAGATCAGACAAGATTGGGCACGTTCAGGGTGGCATGGCTGTAGACCCCCTTTTTTTAAAAACCATCCTTATATCCTCTTTAGTGAGGTGTCCACATCTTTTGCCTATTTAAAAATTATTTTCTTACTGTTGAGTTTTGAGAGTTCTTTCATATATATTCTGGATACAAGTTCTTTTAAGGATGTGTCATTTCTAAATATTTACTCCCAGGCTGTAACTTGTGTTTTAGCGTTGTTGCTGAGAAAAGTTTAAAATTTTTATGAAGTCCAATTTATTAATTTTTTTAATCTATTGTACTTTTGATGTCATGTCTAAGAACTCTTTGCCTAATCCCAAGTCACAAAGGTTTTCTGTTTGAATTCATACTTTTCCTTTTTTATATTTAGATCTATGATCCAGTTAATTTTTTTTATTAGGTGTGAAATTAGGTTGAAGTTCATTTTTTTACATATGGATGTTTATGTTATTTTCTCAATCTTGTTGTAAAGTGAAGAATAAAAGCATGTGTAATAAAATAGATCAATGATTGATATCTTTGTTTCTGGAAACAATGGACCTAGGTCTGATTCTGGGTTCCTTGTTCTGTATAGACTTGGGCAGCAAACCTCTTCAAATCTGTACAGCTTGCTTTGGAGACTTGCAGGAAGGATTAAATGAGATAACATAAAGTACTCAGGATGGCACTTGATACATAATAAGCATTTCATAAATGGTATTGGCTACTCTTACTGTTTTTATGGCTGGTTGAAGTTATTAGTATTACTTAGAGTGTTAGGAGTAGATGAGGGCTGTCTCTGATAGTTGTGGGCAAGGTCAGTGAAAATATTTCAGGCGAAAATCTCTACAAGATCCTTTCTTCCTTTTCTTCCCTTTTCTCTTTTTCTCTTTTCTTTTCCTTTCTCCTGTCCAGTCCATATTAGTCAAGCTGGGTCTTAGGTGTTAAAATATGGTGAGATATAGATATACAGATAAAGAAGTATTATAATCCAAGTATGTTTGTCGGGTAGGAGCTGAGAATTGATCAAATTGATTTTCTAAGAAGGAGACTATGAAGGTGAGTAGATTCAGACTGGGCAAGTATTAGTAGGCAGTATAAGCACTGTGTAACCCATTTTGAAGTGACTAATTTGGCTTTTATGTGCTTGAACAAGGGCTTGTCTATAAGTCAAATGCTCAAATACTATATAGAAAATTTGCCATCAGAATATTACTAATTATCTTTAGTAAACCATCAGGATGTCTTTATTCCTCAACATTTTATAGCAAGATGATTTCATTTTCAGAGAGAGTGAGAGGTGTGGTATGAGAAGGTCAGGAACACTGAAGCTTTAATATGGGCTGGTAAATTTGGGGTAAGTTTTGAAATAATTTATCTTGTAATTATTTATTTTTTGGAATGTTATAAATACCTGGTATGTGACAAGCAGATTATAATAGATTAGCCTTTTTTCTCTCTGTGTGTATGTTCATGTACGCTTTCTCACTTTCCTTTTGGCTCCTGACATCATGGGCTGACAGGGAACAAATATTTGAATAATTACTTTCACTTGGCTGGAGTGAGATTGGCCACTGAGAATGTCATGCTGGCCTTAATCAATCCAAAGTACTTCCTTCCTGCTTCCAGGGAGACTTCATACTGACATTGCCTTCTTCCTGCTTTTAAATTAGGTCTTGATGACAGCAGGGAAACAAGCCTAGCAGAAAAGAGTAAATAAGTAAGAGACCATTATATACCTATTAATGGAAGAAATTTTTAGTGAATTTCATTCTGGTAAACGAATGACAGGCACTTGGCTATCAAAGCCTGTAGATATTTTCCAGTACTAGTCTGTATTTATTGTGCCAACTTAGGAAGTTCCCTTCTAGTAGCTTTGAGGTAGTAGTTGTTTCCTGAAAGACTGTAGCATTCAGTCTTGTTTTGGTTCCTCAGAAACTCATTTGACGTTTCCGATAGAGTTTCTGATAGAGTCTTGACATAGTCATGCAATAACCATCTCAAATAAGATATAGAACATTTGCGTCACCCCAAAAAGTTCTGTTGTATTTCTTTGCAGTCAGTTTCACTCCGTCATCTCATCTACCAGTAATTTCAGGCAACCACTTACCTGCTGTCACTATTAGATTTCCCTTTACTAGAGTTTTGTATAAATACAGTATATAGTTTTTTGTATGGCTTTTTTTGTTGTTCAGCATAATATTTTTGAGAGTCATTTATGTTGCGATATGTTACAGTAATTTCTTTTTATTGCTGAGTAATATTCCTTTGCTTGAATATACCAAAATTTGTTCATCATTCAACTGTTGATGGACATTTGGATGGTTTCTAGTCTTCTAGTCTATTATAAATAAAGTTATTACATATAATCATTTGTGCAGAAATCTTTGTATTAAGTATAGGTGTTTATTCCTCTTGAGCAAATATTTAGGAGTATAATTGTGGGATCAAGTAC